TTTTCATCCCTATTTGGACAAGTTTATGGTTGTGTTCATTGACGACATTCTAGTCTATTCGAAGAATGAAGAAGAGCATGTCGAGCATCTGAAGGTCGTGTTATCTGTGTTGGAAGAAAACAGCTGTATGCGAAACTTTCTAAGTGTGAGTTTTGGTTGAAGGAAGTGAGTTTCCTTGGGCATGTGATTTCAAGTAGGGGTATTGCGGTTGATCCGTCGAAAGTTGAAGCGGTATCGCAATGGGAGACTCTGAAATCAGTATTTGAGATTAGAAGTTTTCTTAGGTTGGCAGGTTATTATTGGAAGTTCATTGAAGGATTTGCTAAGCTATCATCGTCGTTGACGCAGTTGACTCGGAAAGGTCAAGCTTTCGTTTGAGATGCCAAGTGTGAAGGAAGTTTCCAAGAGCTTAAGAGGAGATTGACGATGGCCCCTGCTTTGATTTTGCCAAATTTGGAAGAACCGTTTGTTGTGTATTGTGATGCTTCTTTGATGGGTCTGGGAGGTGTGTTGATGCAAAATAATCAAGTTGTAGCTTATGCTTCGAGGCAACTCAAAGTACATGAGAAGAATTATCTGACACATGACTTAAAGTTGGCCGTCGTTGTATTTGTGTTGAAACTTTGGAGGCATTATTTATTTGGTTCGAGATTTGAGGTGTTTAGTGATCATAAGAGTTTGAAGTACCTCTTTGATCAGAAGGAATTGAATGCAAGACAGAGAAGATGGTTAGAATTTCTAAAGGACTATGACTTTGGTTTGAATTACCATCTCGGTAAAGCAAATGTGGTAGCAGATGCGTTGAGTAGGAAATCATTGCATATGTCGATAATGATGGTGAAAGAATTGGAATTTATTGAGCAGTTTCGTGATTTGAGTTTGGTGTGTGAAATGACTTCTTATGGAGTGAAGCTTGGTATGTTGAAACTTACTAGTGGTATTCTGGACGAGATCCGAGAAGGACAGAAATCGGATTTGAGCTTAGTTGATCATTTGAATTTGATCAATCAAGGCCAAGGTGGTGATTTTCAGATTGATGGGAATGATGTTATGCGGTATCGTGATAGAGTTTGTATTCCTGACATTGTTGAGCTGAAGAAGAGTATTCTTGAGGAAGGGCATCATAGTGGATTGAGTATTCATCCGGGTGCTACTAAGATGTATCAAGATTTGAGGAAAATATTTTGGTGGCCTCGTATGAAGAAGGATATTGCAGAGTTTGTGTATTCTTGTTTGACTTGTCAGAAGTCGAAGATTGAACATCAGAAACCGTCAGGTTTGATGCGACCATTGTGTATTCCTGAATGGAAATGGGATAGCATTTCTATGGATTTTGTGTCCGGTTTATCGAGGACGCAGAGTAATTTTGAAGCCATATGGGTTATAGTGGATAGATTGACCAAATCTGCTCATTTTATCCCTATGCGTATGGACTATCAATTAGAGAAATTGGCGAAATTGTACATTGAGAGGATTCTCAGTTTGCATGGTATTCCGTCTAGCATTGTGTCAGATCGAGTTCCAAGGTTCACTTCGAGATTTTGGGAGAGTCTGCAGAGTGCTTTGGGTACGAAGTTGCGTTTAAGTTCAGCTTATCATTCTCAGACAGATGGTCAAATGGAAAGAACGATTCAATCACTTGAAGATATGTTGAGAGCTTGTGTATTGGAGAAGGGAGGAGCTTGGGATAACTACTTGCCTTTGATTGAGTTTACTTACAACAATAGTTTTCATTCGAGCATCAGTATGGCACCTTTTGAGGCCTTGTATGGTAGACGTTGCAGGATGCCATTATGTTGGTATGAGTCGGGAGAAAGTTCTGTAGTTGGATCCGAGCTAGTTCAGGATACTACCGACAAGATTAAGATTATCCAATAGAAGATGAGTATTTCCCAGATTCGTCAGAAGAGTTATCATGACAAGAGGAGGAAAGCAATCGAATTTCAAGAGGGAGATCATGTGTTTCTTCGAGTCACTCCGATGACTGGTGTTTGTAGGGCATTGAAGTCGCGTAAGTTGACGCCGCGTTTCATTGGTCCTTTTCAGATTTTGCAGAGGGTAGGGGAGGTAGCTTATCATGTTGCTTTGCTGCCATCTCTAGCTAATCTTCATGATGTGTTCCATGTATCTCAATTAAGGAAATACATTCCGGATCCGTCTCATGTAGTCCAAGTAGATGATGTACATGTGAGAGATAACCTGACTGTGGAGACATCACCTATGCGGATAGAGGATCAGAAGTCGAAGCAACTCCGAGGCAAAGAGATTGCTTTGGTGAAGGTCGCTTGGGGAGGACCGGCTGGTGGGAATGTAACGTGGGAGCTGGAGAGCCAGATGAGGGAATCTTATCCAGAGTTGTTCGAATCAGGTAACATTTTCGAGGACGAAAATTCCTAAAGTGGGGGAGAGTTGTAACAGCCCGATTTTTCATTAATTAATTATTTGCATTAATTAAGTGGGTTAATGAGAATTATTTAATTGATGGGTAATTAATTAAATGAATTAATAGATGTTGGAGAGAATTAGAAGAGAACGACATATTAAGAAGGAGAGTGGAAAGAAAAGGAAAAGATAGAAACATAAAGGAAAGAATAGAGAAAGAAAGAGAAAGAGGAGAAAAGAGAAGAAGAAGAGGGAAGAACTTGGAATCATCAAGAACAACTCTCAAGCTTTGGATTAATCAAGGTAAGGGTGAAAAATATCATTATCTTAACAATGTATATAATTGTGTATGCTTGGGTTAGAGTATTGAGTGTTTTTCTACAATTTCCATTTTAGGGCATAAATGGATTAATCGGTAGAATCTGAGTTTTCACGGTGGAAAATGAGAATAAGTGGTAGTATTTAGTCGGGAGGATGTTAGACTAAGGTTATGAAACTTGTTCAGTGAGAATCGGTTGGTTTTGGGGAGTTTTGTGGAAGTTGGACAGTAAGAAATTTGGAGTTCGCAGACATTCGCTAGCGTGTTCGCTGAGCGAGCAGGTAGCAAACGTTCGCTAAGCGAGCTAGTAGCGAGCCAGTAGCGAACGGTCCCAGACTTGGACAAAATGCATGTTGTTGTGTTCGCTGGTAGAGAAAGAGGTAGCGAAGGTTCGCTAGGCCTTCGCTGAGCGAGCGAGGTAGCGAACGAAGTCAGTAGCTTCTGTTTGCCTTCGCGAGCTTGTTCGCTGGGCAAACAAGTAGCGAATACTCGCTAGGAGCTCGCTAAGCGAGCAGAGTAGCGAACATGACAGGATGTATTTTTCTTTAATGTTTCCATCCGAGGTTGGATTTCCGACTTAACTTTGATTATTTCCATGCTCGAGGCGTTGATTTCGCCGGGATATATTATACTGTGGGTGGCCTGATGGCGCGAATCCTAGATTGTTGAATTAATCGAATTATGGTCTTTTGACAAATGTTATACATTGCTTAATGTGATTAAAAATGTATTGCGAATGCATGAAAACATATTGTGTATATTTGTGTATTGTTTGTTAATATGTTGATGATATGTATGAATATGTTGTGTGTGCAATCATTATGATAATTCTTGAAGAGATGAATTATTTGAATGCATGAGATTAAGATGTCGGTCTTAAGTGCATTGAATTGTTGATTGCATATGCATCATTTAGTTAAGAGGCAATGCTTTCTAGTTTCGTGGAGACTAATGACTTATCCCAAGCCTAGAAGAGTGGGTTTGAAAGCTTAGAGGACGGGCTTTTGGTGGTTATCGGTCTAAAAGAGTGGACCCGGTTTAATGTAAACCGAAAAAAGATAACAAGTGTTGGTACCACATGGCATAAGTTTGCATTGAGTCGTATTGAGTCACATACCATGAATGTCATTATTATGTGAAATATGATTGCATGTGGACTATGTATATGAGTTAAAATGGAATTGTGGTGAGAAATGTAATGTATGTATGTTTTTATGTTATGTATGTATATATAATTATATGCATTGATTATTATGATAATATTTCTCACCCTTCTGCTGTTTTATAATGCTCTATGAGGCATTACAGATTAGAATTGCTGGAGGTTTTTCTTTTGGTGAAGTATAGCTTCATTCTTTTGAGTCGGTTGCTCTGATCATGTAACATCGGGTAGCTAGACTTGTAGAGTATTCTTTTGTGATACATTGTATATGTATCAGCTGGTGATGTTTTGTAAAACATGAATGATATTATGAACCAAACTTGATGATGTGTATTTCTATTATATCATGTCTTAAGTAATTCAATGTTCTAGTCTTCCGCTTTAATAAAAACATTGATATGTGGACAAAGAGTTATGCTTTACTTTTAGTTGAGATTTACCCCTTTTGTTCTATCTCTTTGTGAACATTATTATTCATGTTGTCGTTTCGTGAATAATGTGATGCGCCTCTTTTATACCATGTTATAAGTACACTCTGATGAATTTTTGTATATGTGATTAAGTGTTTAAATGCATTATTTTGGGGGTATAGAAGGGGGTGTTACACATATTCAGACGTACCTTTTACATATGCAAAAATGCATTTTTGGATTAAATTTTGGCATAATACGACGCCTCTTTAATTCGATTTGAAGAATGACTTAGAAAAATACGTTAAAAAATGTATCTCTAAATATTTAAGACATTTTTAAATTTTCACGATGATTGGGGAACATATATAATACCAGAAAGAGTATCTCAAATTTTAAATATGAGACTAAAGTTAAAATTATTAAAATAGAAATGATTTTTTTTTTTTTTGGATTTAAACCAAAATCAAAATATAAACCCACATTGTTTGTCACGTGCCAATTTCCCAGCTTGGGAAAGAATTTTGCCCAACTTCCCTAATCCTCAATCTCACACACTCCACCCACCCACCCTACAAACCATTCCGTTGGGCTCATTTCCGAGAGACCATACACAAACAGAGAAACACAAGCAGAGGAAAGAAAGAAACAATTTACAGAATTTACAAGCATAACAAAAAAAACGTTCCATTCCCTTTCGCGCTTTTGCTCGAAAGGAACCAAAAAAATGACCCAACCATCGGTACCATCTCCTCCTCCGCCTCTACCACCACCTCCCCCAGCATCCGCTCCACCGTCACAACCTTCCGACGGCGGCGTTCGTGTCCGCTGTGCCGGTTGCCGCATGATCTTGACCGTAGCGCCCGGGCTGACCGAATTTGCTTGCCCGACCTGCCGAATGCCGCAGATGCTTCCGCCGGAACTCATGGCTAGGGTCCACCAAACGGCACCGTCAACGTTGCCGTTAACTCCTTCTTCACAGAACTTGCCCGCTCACGGAATTGATCCTACTAAGATCCAGCTTCCTTGCGCTTCCTGCAAGGCAATTCTCAATGTTCCTCATGGCCTCTCGCGGTTCTCTTGTCCTCAATGTAAAGTTGACCTTGCGGTCGATCTCTCTAAGATTAAACAATTTTTGCCTCCGCCTCCGCTTGAAGAAGTTAACGAGGTTTGGTTTAGTTACTCCAATTTTGCTTTATCATTTTCTCTGGAAATTTTGGAATTATGAAGTTGCTTGTGTCACTGCATTACTGTGTACACTTGAATAATGCGACTCTGATTCTGATTTCTGTATGTAATTGATTTCATCTAGCATTTTTATTTGATTGACAATGGTGGAAATATAGTAGTTTAGTGTGTGATTGTTTTATTGTGAGTACACTTTATTGAGATTGAGTCCTAATGATAGATTGTTGTTTTCACTTCAAATTTGCATTTGAGTTGTTTTCTACTTTTAATAGGGTGTTTATATGGAGGAACTCATATGTCATGTTGTGTTCCTGTCAATCGCCTGTTTGGTCGAATATGGTCCAAGGTGTGGTTGTTGATTACACCCGAACATGACACCGACACCGACACCGACACGACAATACCGATACTAATTTGAAAAATGAATAAATTAAAGGTAATTACAAGTGTCGGTGTAGGTGTCGGTATCTGACACGGACATGGACACGCCATTTCAGAGGTGTCGGTGCTTCATAGGTTGCAGTTAAGGATGGATAAGCATTTTAACAAGGAAGGAAAATATGCTTGATAGTAGGAAAATATGCTTGATAGTTGATAAGGTGAATGTGTTAATAAGAATTGGGAAACAAGCATGCTATGTTAGTTTTTCGGGATTAAGAGAAAGTAGTTTATCAATGAGAGAAGAGGGAATTAATATTGTGGGGAGTGTAAGTTAACTTGTTAAGGTACTGACTATCGGTTTCTACGTTGCCGGTTTGTTTCCCTCTTAGTCTATTTCATGCATGGTTTTTTGTTGTCATTTTAGGATAAGAATGTATAGTTGACTTTGATGGGTGCAGAATTGCTATTAATAGAAGTTTCACGTGTTGTAAACTTGGAATAGGAGTTATTCCTCAAAGAAGTGAGATTGTTCAAGGGTCTTATTTTTTTCCGCAATTAAGTGGCCCTTAGTCTGCAAGAATCAATTGTTCATATGGCAAAACCAGCTTTTTGTCTTTGATCTCTTAGCCTTTGGATGGAAGGGTTTGCCAGCAATGGGAAAGGAGTGAATTTTTATTTTGATTAAACAATTTTTTTCTTATCTTGGGATTTTATAAAATGGAAGCAATACATTGCTCTACCATCCCTTATTCAATTTTACAACTTTTATAATTTCTCAATTTAGATTAGTTAACAAAGTTTACGTTTCCATCCCTTTTCCGAGTATCCTCTATCCAAACCTTGGTTGGCTAGGTGGAAAGAGAAGATCTTGAATGCAAATAACTTCATGCTTGCATGGTGCAACCGAAGTAAAGAGTGAATATTATAGTGTACGCATCTTTCCCTCTGGACCAAAATTCGGTTGAAAATGATTTTTTCCTTATTCTCTGTTTTATACTTTCCGAATTTTAACCTACTCAATCAAAAAGACCCGAAATCATTTGTATAAAATCGAGATTGTCATGAATCATGATGTCTGATCTGATGTTCAGGCCTTATGCTTTAAATGAAGGACCTGAATATATCAGAAAGTGAGAATAAGAATTTGTGTGCAGGTCCAATACAATTATCATTGATAGACTAACATACGAGGTTAAGAAAACAAGCTTGTCCCACAAACTTAGTAAAAAAAGACATTTATTGCTACAAGCATTCTTTTGATGGTTATTTTAATGATACTTGTAAGTTTATAGATTGGGTCTGCCTAGGGAATTGGTCCCTCTTTTGAATTGATATTTTTCCTTTTTCTTTGTACATGCTGGCATTCTTGATTCTACAGTTTTGTTTCACTATATGGATGTATATGTTTTTTCTTTTTTTTCGCATTTGAAGTTTTTTTTTGTTTTTGTTTTTAATAATAAAATAGATTTGCATTTGAACATAAACCCCCCCTACAGGCAAAAGAGTTTGGATTACTATTCTCTACGTTTTTGATACTTGATTAAATTATGTCTAGCTGTCCAGTGATATTTCCCCGCTTTTATTATTTTATTGGTTTTCTGTTGGTTATTTGAAAAAGGTTTATATATTTAACTAGCCTTCTTATGTCTTAATTTTTACTTTTATCCTGCATGGAATTAAATCAGGTTGCTGTTGAAGTGGAGCGGGATGAAGATGAAGGCGGCATGGTCGGAGAAACATTTACAGATTATGTAAGTTACTAATTGCTTTCTCCAGCATTGTATGCTAGAAGTTTGTTATCAACAATTCGTTTGTTATTTCGAGTTACACAAGCACACTATTGTGATATTAAACTGTCTCCTTATGCAGCGACCACCAAAAATATCTATTGGACCTCCACACCCAGATCCCGTTGTGGAGACATCTTCATTGGCTGCAGTGCAGCCACCAGATCCTACCTATGATCCAAAAACTAAAGATATTTTGGAAAGTTCAAAGGCTTTGTCATGTTTGCAAATTGAGACCTTGGTCTATGCTTGTCAGGTTTCTTCTTTGACATAATGAACAGTATATAATTACGATTTACTTTTCATTTCTTGTGTTTAATGTAATGTTTTGACAGAGACACCTTCAGCACCTCCCCGGTGGGGCTAGGGCAGGATTCTTTATTGGAGATGGAGCTGGTGTAGGTAAAGGTCGAACAATTGCAGGTCTAATTTGGGAGAACTGGCACCATGGAAGGAGAAAAGCATTGTAAGTTTAGTTCACACTGTCTCTGCATGCGAGATACTTGCATGTTATTGGAAATTTATTTAAAAGCAAATTCATGCTTTGGATGCAAATTTGAACACACTAACCAAACCATATGACCATGTGTGTTTGTAATTTGAACTCAATGCCTGACTATACTCTTAGAGTTTACTTGTTTTTATTTTGATGCTCTATCATGTTTTCAACGATCTTACACAGGTGGATTTCTATTGGTTCAGACTTGAAGTTTGATGCTAGAAGAGACTTGGATGATGCGGGTGCAGCCTGTATTGAAGGTATTTCCTTTGGTGATGTTTTAGGATTTGTATGGATATTTTATGGAGTAGTTTTGTAATATCACATATCGAACTAGGATTTTGGACTATGTTGTCAATAGCACGCTATAGCAGTTCTAGGGTTCGGCGCAATGCTATTTGTCTGCAAGCCGCTGTCAACAATAGCGGTTGTAGCAGCCGCTAATTGCGGCCCCAAACCGCTATTGCAGCCGCCATTAGAATTTTGGGGATAAATTCCTTAAATTCCTTTTTTTGAACTGTTGTTTTTTGAAAGTGTATGCATTTCAATCCGAACCCTTTGGAGAGTAATGTAGTGTTCTTGCTCACAAATAATCGTTCTGCTCTTCTTCCAACTTCTAGTTCAGTTTTGTTTTACTCTTTTTCTCTGCATAAGTTTTATTATTCTATACTTTAGGTTCTTTAACTATTTAATGTGAATGTTCAGTAATCTCTTTAGTTGTGTATTAGTTTATTATTAAGCATGTATGTTTACTTTTACATTGGTTTATAGTCTTTGTAATAGCGGCTATCCCACTATCCACTATATTGCTATAGCATTTTAGGGGGTTGTTGCTATGCAAAGCTATCCACAATTAGCAATTTAGGGGGTTCACATCACATGGTGATTCGTGGCCAGTCGATCTCAATCAGATCAACATCGCTAAAAATTGCTAAAATTAGTAGGATTCTTATTAATCCACAAGTCTTCTTACATAGTTGGTCTTAAATGGCTAGGTTTATATTTTTACTTGTCATACCCCCTTCATCCCTTGTTGTGTTTGGTTATATGAACTAGCCACCTACATTATCACGGATTACTGTCGTATGAATGAATAAGAAACATTTTAGTTCCAATTTATAAGAATCAGAAAAATATAAAAAATTGTGCAAATTATAAAGGATTAAACTTCTTAGTCAGACCATAAAGTTATAGGAAATAGTGATTGAATGGAGACTAAGAAAAAATACTTAAGTCATTGAGAATCAATTTAGTTTTATGCCTAGGAGGTCTACCATGGAAGCAATCTATCTACTACGACGTGCGATGGAGTAGTATCTGATGGACCAACACGACTTACACTTACTTTTTATTGACTTGGAGAAGGTATATGATAAAGTTTCTAGAGAGGTTTTGTGGAAAATCCTAGAGAAATAAGGGGTTAGGATTGCATATATTCGAGCTATCTAAGATATGTATGAAATGGTATTGATTGGTGTGTGGACGCAAAGTGAAGAAGGTGAAAAGACGAACAATTTTTCCATTATAATAGGTTTGTATCAATGTTCAACTCTAAGCCCCTACCTTTTTACTTTAATTTTGGAGGTACTTACGAAACACATCCAAGAGCTAGCAATGAGATGCATGCTTTTTTTCAGATGTTGTAGTCCTACTTGGAGAGTTGAAGGAGAATTTATATGAGAGGTTGGAGAGTTGGAGACGTGCTTTAGAAACTGACGACTTTCGCCTCAACAGAAGTAAGATGGAGTATATGGAATGTAAGTTTAGCAAAAGGAGAAGCGTTTCTAATCTAGAGGTGTAACTTGGAGACCATATCATCCCATAAGTCACGCAGTTTAAATATCTTGGGTCCGTAATACAAAACGATGGAGAAATAGAAGGTGATGTAAACTTTTGATATTTGTAAATATAGTGTTAAGAATATTTGTATATAGAATAGTCCCATATCAGACTATATCATGTAGTTAGTTGTAATCTCTCTCTATATAATAATGTCTCCGTAGTGCTTTTCAAAGCACATGGTTTATTCATATGTCTCTTAGTCTCTTGTATTTTAACATGGTATAAAGAGCCTTGTTTAAGATCCAGTGAATCACCTTCTATGGTTTTCGCTATCGGGCCACCCACCATTTATTTTCACGCTCCAGATGTCCAGTCCTGCGCGTGAGGGGGTGTGTTAAGAGTCCCACATCGGACAATATATGGCATGAACATGTGTTTATAAGTGGGGGCAATCCTCACTCTACCAACCGGTTTTGTAGGGTTGAGTTAGGCCCAACCACAATTTCTTAACATAAACCATCAAATTCAAGCGGGCCCGCTGAAACGGAGGAGGGTTTTAGGGATTTTATGTGACACAAAGGTACCACTCATGTTAAAGGAATTTTTTTATTGAACTACTGTTAGACCTGCGATGTTGTATGTGATAAAATAGTGGGAGGTTAAGAGTCAACATGAGAATAAAATAAGTGTAAATGAAAATGTTGTGTTGGATGTGTGGTAAGACTAGACATCATAAGATTAGAAGTGACAATGTTAGAGAGTGTTGGCGTAACACCTATAGTAGAAAAGATGGTGAAAAATAGATTTAGGTGGTTTGTGCATGTAGAGAGAAGACCTGTATATTTTGTGGTAAGGAGAGTAGATCAAATAGATAGGAGTTATATGTTGTGGTAAGGAGAGTAGATCAAATAGATAGGAGTCAAACTGTTAGGAAGACCTAGAAAAACTATAAGAGAAGTTATTAAGATCTCGAGATAAATGATTTGGATAGAAACATGATCCTGGATAGAACATTATGGCGGAAGTTGATCTATGTAGCCGACCCGCCTAGCTTGGTTCTTGTACTTGTCATTGTCATCATCATCTTTTCTGTCTTCTCAACTCAAATTATGCTTTTATTCAGTGAATGAAAATTTTCTGTTTGTTTATCATCATGAGAGAAATTTCATCTTTAGCCCATTTCAGGTGTTTGTGTTTATTTAAATTTCAATGTAAAAAGTTCTTGTAATTAATTATTTCATCTATATTACAAACAATATTCTGATATACGTCTTCCCTTTTCCCTCCCCTTTAATCCAGTGCATGCTTTGAACAAACTACCTTATTCTAAGCTTGATTCAAAGTCTGTTGGGATCATGGAGGGAGTTGTCTTCTTAACATACAATAGCCTTATAGCATCTTCAGAGAAAGGTCGATCTCGTCTCCAACAGCTTGTGCAGTGGTGTGGACCAGGGTTTGATGGCCTTGTAATTTTTGACGAGGTATGCAAACATGTTCTCGTACAAATTATTATTTCCAATGGTTGTTTTGAAGGATAACATTAATGGTTCAAGTCATTCTTGCATTCAATTTTATTTCCTTACTTTTTGTTACTAAGGTTTGATGATTCATTGTAGTGTCACAAAGCAAAAAATTTGGTCCCTGAAGCTGGTAGCCAGCCAACACGCACAGGAGAAGCAGTGCTTGAAATTCAGGTTTTGTTCTTAATTTTCAATCTTTTGGAACAGTGAATGAAGGTTTTTGATATTATTTGTGTTTTTCTTTTATAATTTTTTTACTTAAATTTTATTTTCAGGTGGGTGTCAATCTTGTGAAAGTTATATTTTTGTTTTCTTTTCGGATGATTTGGTTATCTCTTAATCATAGTTCTTTGTTATTCTTTATATGTAAAACATTTTTTGGAAGATATTTCCAAAAGGTGAAATTGAATGAACAGTTTAGAGAGCCATAGATAATCATTTCAGATAGAAAAATTAGATATAAGGGCCTGGTTTTAGCTTGCCTAATAGATACAACTTGTAGCATAGGTTCAGGGGCAAAACAAAAATTCTGAAATTTAATTTTGTAACAAAACCAATTTTGTAAGTGATCTAATCTAATTGAAACATCTGTGTGAGATTAACCTCCATGAACTAATTTGAGTTGCAGTGCTTGTTTATTTGCACTCCAGTTTGTGGCACGAGAATGAGATACAAACTGAGAAATTGGAACGGTATCCATTTCATCCATGTCTTGATCATCATTTGTAAATTGGACAGCCTGTAAGTTTGGTTCATTAAAAGACAATGATACCAGTTCATGACTTCCAGCCCCATCAAATCTATCCCATACATCTCCACTAATGTCCTACATCCTAGGAGACCCTTCCTTGTGTTCTTTCCTTTGAGTAGCCAAAAGCGCAAATTTGTATGGACATAAACCAAGTTTAGAGAGCATGTCAACGATAATAAATAAAAACTGAAAGCCCTATTATCCAAAATGCATGGAATCTATGTTTCTTTTTGAAAAAACTAAAAAACTGACTAGTTTTTTAAAAAAATGGGTTGAACTTTATTTCTTTAGATTTTTAATATTGGACCATTCAATTATTAGATAACCAAAAGAAATGAACAATTATTTTAACTAGGCTATATGAACAATTTAGTTTTGATCCACTTAATTTTACAGAAGTTTAAAGTCTTTTGCTTGGTAGAGTGCAAATTTGATAGTGTTTGTTGAAGGTTGTGCCTAATGATGCAATTCGGATTGAATTTCGGTCCTAACTTATGCAGTTTATTCCCCGGCATTGTGTGTTGGGGATAAGTCATATACCATGTACCTGAACCTGAACCTCCAAACTGTACAGTATTCCATGTCATTAGTCTTGGTTCTACATAGTTGGATACAGTTTGGTTATTGTTGTTGAAGATTTGAATTTGTGGCATGTTTGATCAGATCAGGAAAGACAACTGCAGTATATATTACAGCATTTTATTCCAAAGAACTCGATCTTGGTTTGTTGAAGCGTTTTTTATTTATTCACGTTTTTGTGGTTTTAGTGGAGGAAAGGAATGAAAGTGATTGTAGAAGTCTGCTTATTTTTTGTTAGTGTATTTGACTGGAGCATATCATATGTTTCCATTGTATTGATGTTCAACAGATTTGTATCCTTGCTTTCTGTACAATGGCCATCGTATTTTGAAAGCAGTTTCTTTGGTAAATTTGCAAAATTCTTAAGAAGCTTTTTATTTTGAAACAAAGTATATTATTTTATGACTGAAAATATAGTTCTCAAACATGGGTCTACTTGATATAATTGTTAGTAGACAAGAAGATAATAGCTTTTACAGTACTAAAAATATTTGGGTTGTTGATCTGTAAGATAGCAGTAGTGGTATCATTTTAGTTGTTAAAATTCCAAGTTTTGATGGGATGTTGCTCTCCCATAACAACAGATGTACAACCTGACTCTCAAACATTCCTTTCCTTACTCCAACTACAAAAGGTCATATAGAAAATGAGTAGTTGCCAGTGTAATTTAAAGTGATTATATCATTGTCTGAATCCTTGTAGTTGACCTCACCTAGTGAGATAAGGCTTGTTTGTTATATTTTTTGTATGTGTTTTGAAACAAGAATTAGTTCTGAATGATTATCTACAATTTTTTGGCTTATTTTGCAAGATAGCGTACTATAATACCCGTTCCTATAATCACAGTTAGAAAAAGTACGTGTATCTGCGTGGTTAACAATTTCATTTTCTGTACCCTTATTCATACCCATTACCTGCACTTTCACTATAATAAATTGATAAATAACTTTAGGAGCAGCAATAATTTCAAAATTGCTAACTCAGCGTATGCTTGGAAGACACTTTTCATGGTGGAATCTCACAGTTGAACAAAAGCTACATGTTGATGTGTTGGTCTACCATACATTGAAAGGGTTCCCACTGCGTTTCCCAACACAATCTCTGAACTCATTTAGATGTCAAACTCATCTTTATTATCTGGTTACACGTATTGTTTCAAGTTTTATTATCACCGAAAGTCTCTTTAGCAGTCACCTCATTATTAAGTTGCAATAGATCATTTTTTTGATATAATATTAATAGCAATGCCAGAAATCATCTTCACTGGAATAATCAAAACTGACTTGAAATACTTAGTTTTGAATATGGCAAACTATTTAATCCTATATTTAAGACTGAACCCTTGCGAAACTAATATCTTCAACCAAAAACTATTTCCTAAATGCAAATGCTATGCACATAAAATAAGTGTCACATAAGGAAATTGATTGATTTATTTTTAAAATACGATGCAAGTGTGTATACTAATATAAATAAATAAATATTATGCTGGTCCAAAGCAGGGTGCATAGTAAGGTACCCGTAATGGCATATGTATCTGCTCAATTTTGTCGATAATCACCAGTGCCTGTACCCTGTACACACACTGCGGGTGTTTACCTACTTATAACATGTATTTTTGACTGGTACCCAAGTGTCTATTGCTCTCACTGTCATTATTTTTTGAAGTCATATTATTTTGCAAATTTGGCATTGAAAGCATGATTTCAGTTAATGCGATTTGATTTTACAGGATCGACTACCTGAAGCTCGTGTTGTTTATTGCTCAGCAACTGGTGCATCTGAACCCCGCAATATGGGTTATATGGTTAGACTTGGTCTTTGGGGAGATGGAACTTCTTTCTCCGAGTTCCGTGAATTTTTGGGTACCATTTCCTTTTCTTGTTATTGATCTTCGATAGATATTTTTCTTGGATAAATTAGTTTTTGCACTTTTACAATACTTGCTGCTGCATTGTTTTGCAAATTGATGATGTATTTTTCTTCATGAACATACTCCTATTTTAATATAACCATTTTTTGAATGTATTATAACTTCAAAAGCATTTTGGAATGTATTGATAGATAACTAATATCTTACAATTTTTTGCATTTCAACTTACCATAGCTACATAATATAAAATGTGCTAGAATTTCTTATGCTCCTCCAGTTGATGATGTATTTTTCTTCATGAGCATACTGCTGTTTTAATATAACCATTTCTTGACCTTTATTATATAACTTTAAAAGCATTTATGAATGTAGTGATAGATAACTAATATTTTACTTTTACAGTTTTTACATTTCGACTTACTATAGCTACATAATATAAAATGTTCTAGAATTTCTTATATACTTTTCTTTCTGCATGTGTTTCCCCATAGGCCCATCCCCTTAATGTGTAAAGTTAACTATTTGAATTTATACATCCAGGTGCTCTTGATAGAGGGGGTGTTGGAGCTCTAGAATTAGTTGCCATGGACATGAAAGCAAGGTTATAATAATTTCGCATATACATGAGCATTTTGACTTAAGAACATGTATGCTTATAAAAGAATATTGTTTTGCTTCACTTTCTCATTGTAGGGGAATGTATTTATGTCGGACACTTAGTTATGAGGGTGCTGAGTTTGAAGTTATTGAAGCACCATTAGAAGATAAAATGATGGTATGAGATACTGACTTGTTAACTACTGCTATCTTATTTACTAAAGCTGTAATTGCTCTACAAAAGAAATAATGGAGATTATCTGGTTGACTGGCATCTGAAAATCATAACTGTAGAGCAGAAGGTTAAGAAAAAGGAATCCCATCAACAAGTTTCAACCGTCTGTTTGTTAGTTTTGTGATGCGTTGTGTAATTAGCTCCCCCTTTCCTCCACATTTGGTTTGTGTTTCATTGATTTTCATTTGCCAATGTCACTTGTATTGATTTATGTACAAATTACCTGCATTATATTTAGACGATTGTGGATGTATTATTGGAAGAATCAAATTAGGAATGCATTTGTCCATTCTATTTTGTATATTTCAATGCCTTTTGATTCACTCTATGTATGGTAAGAAAGGGGTTGATATTGTAGAACACTAGAGACATCTCGTGGCTGCAAGCTGTTCAATTTTGTTTTCATATAATTGTAAATTTGTAACATGTATTATCCATGTCATCTCTGATATCTGATGTTTCGTTTATTTATCCTTTGAGGTAAATATTTTCACCTGATGGCCTTATTGTTCATATCAACTTCTTAGGACATGTATAAAAAGGCAGCAGAGTTTTGGGCAGAACTACGAGTAGAATTGCTGTCAGCTAGTGCCTTCCTGAATGATAAACCTAACACTAGTCAACTATGGCGATTGTACTGGGCAAGCCACCAGGTATTAGTATTTAATTGGTACCTGCAGACAAAATCTCTATTTTGATCTGTCGCTTGTCTGTATACTAAATATGTTCTTAACTCTGTAGCGTTTCTTTAGACACATGTGTATGTCTGCTAAAGTCCCTGCTACTGTAAGACTAGCAAAGCAAGCATTAGTTGATGAAAAATGCGTAGTCATTGGTCTTCAGAGTACTGGTGAAGCAAGGACGGAGGAAGCTGTGACAAAATATGTGTGTTTGGATTATATATTCAATTCCATTTAAACAAATATTTTTCTACAATTCAATTTTCTCACTTGTTTTATTTTTCTAAAAGGGTTCTGAACTTGATGACTTTGTTTCCGGACCTCGAGAATTGCTGCTTAAATTTGTGGAAGAAAACTACCCATTACCAGAGAAACCTGAACTCCTTCCAGGTTTAATATTTTTTTTGCCAAATGATTTTCATTTGTTTATTGTGCACTTAATATATAATATTTTCTTTTTCATTATAGGAGAGGACGGTGTTAAGGAGCTCCAAAGGAAGAGACACTCTGCAACCCCTGATGTTTCATTAAAAGGAAGGGTTAGAAAAGTAGCCAAGTGGCAACCTCCCAGTGATGCAGAAAGTGACGAAGAATCTGAAAGTGAGTTTCCCAAAAGCAAAGCTGATGAATCTTTTATATACACAGCCTTTTCCTTTTTGTGCTTTAGATGTGTTAAGAGTCCCACATCGGACAATATATGGCATGAACATGTGTTTATAAGTGGGGGCAATCCTCACTCTACCAACCGATTTTGTAGAGTTGAGTTAGGCCCAACCACATTTCTTAACATGGTATCAAGAACCGTGTTTAAGATCCGGTGGACCACCTTCTATTAGGTTTCCGTTATCGGGCCACCCACCATTTATTTCCACGCTCCAGATGTCCAGTCTTGGGCGTGAGGGTGTGTGTTAAGAGTCCCTCATCGGACAATATATAGCATGAACATGTGTTTATAAGTGGGGGCAATCCTCACTCTACCAACCGGTTTTGTAGGGTTGAATTAGGCCAAACTACTTTTCTTAACAAGATGCATATATTATCAAGCCATTTTTCCAAATATCTACACCCAAGCCTCATCTCACTATGTTGGGTCACCTAATCTGAACAATGAAGCCACTGTGCTATTGCTATATTTCAAATGTCAAGGGTTTAGAAATATACCATTTAGATGAGAACTTTCTTCTTTTTGTTTGTCTATATAATTTTAATTTTAGTCTTCATCTTGCTTTTAACCCAGTGAACTACCATTGCATCCACAATTCATTCTAGAAAAGAGTAGTTAGTATGTGGTCCTTGCACTTCAATTTTACCTCATAACATTGATAACTCTATTGCTGAGTTTATATTCCAAATAATCAAGCCTTAACACACCAGTCCCATCTTAGCCACCCAATTTACTTTGATGAGCGGCCAATAACAAAAACAAAAACAATAATGAAGCCTTGTCACACTGGGTGGTGTCAATTTCTTGGATTAGACAATGATGCCATTATTCTCTATCATGTATTGAGTCTCTAAATCATCTTAATGGTTTGACCCTTAGATTTTCCACAAGCCTTATCTGCACACATCCAAACTGTTTAAGACAATGTTTTACTATCTTATTACCAATTGGGGGGTACCCCAATTTTCTAGTAGTTGTATTTCTAATTCTATTGTCTCATGAGACCACTTATCTATTTTAACACTCATGTCATCATGCAAACTATACTTTCGTCTGAACTCTTTGGTTCCCAACAGTTAGTCCCATATAGCATTGCAAGCTTCACAGTTGTGATAAAATTTCTTTTCTGGTACTTGGATGAGAAGCCGTACTTCCTAACTTACGTAGCCCCAACTTAGAGGTTCCCGTAAAGGGAGATACCCTGGCTAATAAAACACACTGTTGTAAGCTTTCTTGTCATCTCTTTTTTCTGGGATATGAGAGTACATGTCATACAAATTAGTTACTATACTAAATATAATTACAAGCATACTAGGGTTGAAGACCTAACAAGAAAAAACATAAATGACAAGGCCTATTATTATGTATCAAAATCAGGGTTTACTGTTTCCAGTGGTATTGTGAACTTAAATGTATTCTGTCATTTTTTTATTAGGAGGAAAAAAGATATACTGCCATTTGTACTATATTTAATTAATTAATTTAATATATGCATGCATTTCTTAGTATAAATCACATTAGAGATAGGATCTTTCATTCTGTTATGATTTTTCATTTCACTTTTCTAGTCTCCATGTTCTGAGGCAATACTATTGCACTGGTACAGTATACGGTTTATAACCCTGGGCAGGGTTTATGAGTTTGACAACCTTGAGAACTATATTATATGCACAAATGCATGCTTTGATGCACTTTCTATTTCATAATGTATTAGCATTTACTCGTCTTGGCTTGCTATGCTGATAGAATGCAAATTAATTACCTTGCTGTAAATAATTGTTTATTCTATGGAAAAAAGTGATAACAATTTTTTTTGTAAGAGCTTATTGCTCTTTCTCAATAAGAATTTATAGAGGACAAAAACTCCAATAGTGGAGGATAGTGAATCAGTCAAAATAAGAACAGTCTAAAGGGAAGCAACAGTAGCACCATGACAAATCAGAGGCAAGGAGAACCTTGGTGATGTTGTCGGTTTTTTCCCAACCACAACCACAACCACAAAATCCCTTTAACAACACTTTGCACCAAAATTTTATTTTCTTACGAAATCTTTGAAAATGAGTGTATGAATTTTATTGAGATATTTTTGAATTTCATCCAGATTCATCTGGTTTGGTGCAGGTGATTCTGACATTGAATCTAATGACTCTGATGAGGAGTTTCAGATATGTGAAATTTGCACCACTGAGGAGGTAGTTTTTCTTTGATTTATTTTTTGTTTTGAATCTCTTGAATCATTTTGATGTAATGCTAGGGATGTTTCACTGCAGGAAAGGAAAAAGATGTTACAGTGTTCCTGCTGTGGTAAATTAGTCCATTCCACATGCTTGATGCCACCAATTGGTGATATAGTTCCTGAAGAGTGGTCATGCCATTTATGTAAGGAAAAGACAGATGAATATCTTCAAGCAAGGCAGGCCTACATAGCTGAACTCCAGAAGAGGTATACAATTTAAACATTTCTCAAGTTATTGGGGTCTGACTTTAATGGTTTTAATTATCGTTTTATGTTGAAAAACTGGTTAAAAAAGAAATTGCAAGACACATTATCTTCGTAAACCTAAATTAGGGGGAAAAATTAAATAATAAAGTGCTGATTGCTTTATTAAATTATGACAGATATGATGCAGCCTTGGAACGTAGGACTAAAATATTAGAGATCATTCGTTCTTTGGATCTTCCAAATAATCCTTTGGATGATATTACTGACCAGGTAGTGATTCCATATTTTATTTTACCCGCTTGCTTTGAAGATCATTTGCTTTAATGTACTCAAATACAGTTTAACTGTAATGTTTAGAGGTTATTTGAAAACAATTACATAGATGCAAGGGACCAGTAAAATAAAGATGCTTGCCGACCTTTTCCTCTATCACAACTGCTGTCATGGAGTAACTAAAATGTTTGCTTTATACAGAGTTTTGAAACTTTCTGTTTTGCTCTTGTATAAATAATTTGACCTCTGTTTGAAATATTTAGTTTCCCATTTATAGGAAAAATGCGTGTTCAAGCATCCAATGCAAATTGCTACTTTCATCTAATCTATTCATGAGTGTAGGCAGAATAGTTGCATCTTTTTGTTAGTTATGCATGATATCAGGGTCCTGGAAGTTACTCTTAATCCATCCCGTGTGATTGAAAACTTTGCCTTTGAAGATTTGCTTCTTTAATCTATGACATTGCTTTATAGTGTCAATTTAATATTTGTGTAATAAATTGGTAAAGGACCTGTGCTCATCATCTATCTGGTGTGGGGATGATGCAATATAACTTATTGTTGGTGTAAAGTAGGAAACGTTTTGATGCTGGTTGTTTGTTGAGGTTGAATGTGAATTATTTGGATTTGAGGCAATAAGCAAGGCAAACCTGATTATCACAAGTGAGTCTCATCTGTTAAGCATCCTCAAACCTAACTATCACAAGCGAGTGTCATCTGTTAAGCATCCTCAAACCTCAGCTCTTTGAGCTACTGCTTGAGCCATATAAGTTGACAAGTAACTTAAGCAGTGGTTTGATGTTATGCTTCTACACTTCATCTTACCACAACATTTATTTCTTGCTGCATTTGGGGACTCTAAAGCTTTATTCCCAATTTACATAATCATGGGTTAAAAGGAATGCTTCACTCTAGACTTCATTTGTCATATTTGTTTTTGTATATTGGCCTAACTCATCTATACAAAACCGGTTTGTAAGGCGAGGGATGTCTCTTTATAAAGTTTTTAAAGCCTTGTATCTCTTCAATGTGGGAATTGAGTTTTTCTCAATACACCCCTCATGCCCGGTAGTATTGGGCATGATGCGTGGATAATTTGGTGGATGTCCCGAATAGATAGGCTATATATCAACTTGAATAATTTAGAATGGATGACTTGCATCACACAATGTGTCTGTACAAAGAGAATCTCTCAAAATAAGGAAAAGTAGTAAACCAATGAAACTATATCAACAATAATAAGTAGATAGAATAATCTTAATTGTGGCTAAAATCATTAGCGATGGGATTATTTAAAGCTTTCTTTTTTGTTGTTATATTAATGATTTTTTTAGGTGTTTCTCTGTAAAACATTCAGAGACATTAGCATGCTGTGTTGTATCATTAAATCTCATAGGTTCTAGTTTTCTTATTTGGTTATCATGTGAGTCCTTTTTTTGTACTTTTTCCCCTTAATACTGTTTTTTTTTATGAATTAAAATTACTCACATTTCTGGTTACAATTTTTTTTTATATACAGCTAGGAGGGCCCGACAAAGTTGCAGAAGTTACAGGAAGGAGAGGCATGCTTGTGAGGGGCCCTACCGGAAAGGGTGTAACTTATCAGGCTCGTAATACGTAAGTTGTAGTGTCTCCGCTCCATATCTTATTGTTTAACAACATTTAATAGTAACTGCATTATGCTAATTTTTGTGTATCTGTGTAGAAAGGACGTCACTATGGAAATGGTTAACATGCATGAAAAGCAGCTTTTTATGGACGGAACAAAGTTTGTTGCTATTATTTCTGAAGCTGGATCAGCTGGTGTTTCCTTGCAGGCAGATAGGAGAGCGGCAAATCAGGTATGTCAAACTGACTTGAAGGTTTTTTGTCCCTGATACCATTGTCTTGTCTGTCCTATGTTTATGATTTGGTGTGGTATAGAACTTCTGTGATTGGTTTTCTGCTCTGTTGTATTCTTTGTTGTCTGCCATTTCTCCCAATTTTATGCCCCACGACCTTTACATAACAGAAAAGAAGGGTTCATTTAACGCTAGAGCTTCCATGGAGTGCTGACCGTGCAATTCAGCAGTTTGGAAGAACTCATAGATCAAATCAAGCTTCAGCACCAGAATACAGGTTAGTGATTAGAATGAATTACGTTCGATCTGTTTGCTTACTTTTCATATTGTTATTTATGTTAACTAAATTAATTGGTTAACTTGTTGTCTCTCTGTTTTCATATCTGCAAAGTATTTGACTTAGAACTTAAGCCTGATACCAAAGTATTCTGTTTCAGACATATAAGTTTAAAATCGCTTAAGCAATGGTTGGACAAAGTTGTTTGATCCCTATCTTAGACAAAAAAAGAAAAAGTTTAACTGGACACCTATTTAGTTAGTGAGTAGTGTGTGACACATGTTAAAGAAGTTTCAGGGTCAAAGGTGTGTCCAAAACTCTGATACTACCGTGTTTTATGCACATTGATCTAATAGAATGTAGTAAGAGTCTTATATCTCTCTTTTTCACCATTCTACTGTCTTACTGTAGCCAAATAATTTCAATTGCTTTCAACTCAAGACATAAGTTGTTAACCTCGGCCGTTCCAGCTGTTATCTCGGAACAGAGCAGCAAAACCAAGAAAACCGTGTCAGACTGTGCCGTTCCGTCACAGATGCAGCCGCTCTGGCTGCGTCAGCCATATATGATATTACCCTTAAATTTAAGAATAGCAAGATTATTTTAGACTTTTATTTCAAAATATGAATACTTCATAAATTTTGATTGCTTTATTTTAGTTTTTAACAGTAATGTTTTCATTAGTATTAACTGTGTTAGTGTCCACGTCATTAAAAAATCAGCCATTCCGCTTCCCACTCCCATTCTGTTCCAATTTTGGAGATGGCTGCGCCGTTCTGCTATCCAAAATTGATAACATAGGTTATTCTGCTTTGTTAAAATGCTATATTTCTGGTTTATAATATGCACTGTCTCATAAATCCTGTAAAAGTTAAAATGTAAGCTGCTCCTTAGACTGGATATGAAATGATTCCAGCTATAGTTTTTGTTGATATTGTCTTGCCAGTTTACGCCAGTTTTACCTGATCTCTATTCTCATAAATGCATCAGGATACTCTTTACTAATCTTGGTGGAGAACGGCGATTTGCATCAATTGTTGCGAAGAGATTAGAATCTCTCGGTGCTTTGACTCAGGGGGATCGCAGGCATGTTGGATTTACATGTTTTTATTTTTTTATTTTTTATTTTTATTTTCAATGAGTTTGGATCAGTGAACTTTTAATCTCTGTCTATGTTCCTGACTTCCTTTTTGACTTACAGGGCTGGGCCTTCATTAAGCGCTTATAATTATGATAGTGCTTATGGAAAGAGGGCTCTGGTGATTATGTACAAAGGAATAATGGAGCAGGTTTCATATTATTCTTTGAAATAGGGAGTCACCCACACACATACACGTACAAATATATAGAGGACAACTCTGGTGAGACACTTGGTTATTGTGAGATTTGGTTATTTTGAGAGATGATAACAATTAATCTAACCGTTAGATTTAGATTAACGGCTCATATTACATTTTAAATTAAAGTACCATGTGATTGGACCTTCTTCCTTTTCTCATTCACAATCGCGACCACCCAAATACAACAACAAACTGGTATAATCTAGTAAGCTGGACCAGACCCAATGTTTGGGTGTGGCTAGCATACTGATTAATTATTCTTTAATTTAATTTAATTTACTTGTGTGAGGGTCCTTAAAGAATGACGCCAACTAGTTAACACCAAAAGCATAGCGTTATAGCAATGACCTAAAATTGAGTGAAGTGAAATTCCAAGTTTTCCTTAATCCTTTGAGGATTTATGTTAAAGTCCCACATTGGACAGTATATGGTCTGAACATGTGGGGACAATTCTCACCCTACAAAACGGTTTTGTAGGGATGAGTTAGGTCAAACCCACATTCTTAAGATGGTATCAGATTCTGGTCCTATTATCATATTTCCGCTATCAGATCACCCACCATTTATTTCCACATTCGAGATGTCCAGTCCTGAGTGCGAAAGTGTGTGGTAAGAGTTCCACATCAGATAGTATATGGCCTGAACATGTGTTTATAAGTGGGGACAATTCTCATCCTACAAGTTGGTTTTGTAAGGATGAGTTAGGCCAAGTCCACATTCTTAAGATTATTATATATTCACTAGTAAAGATCCTGTATACATAAAACTGACTATTTAATGGGCATTGGTGAGTGATACTGCCACAATCACTGGATTGAGCTTTGGTGTGGGAGTGTGTTTTGATGTGCATCTGTTGGACTTAGAAAAAGGGCTGCGATGCAACAGAGAAAGGAATTAAGTTCTGTGACATTTTTACCTAAAATGTGATCTGAGCTGTTGATTTTAATTTAGCAGTTACAAATAATTGTTTTCATTTCACGAAGTAACCAAGTGTTCTCAAATCCATCTATATATATATAAAGAGCGCTCAAATCCATCAATAAATATAAGAGTGCTCAAATCCATCTAATGACAAATTGTTTTCTAGGATTCTCTACCTGTTGTTCCTCCGGGATGTTCGTCTGAGAAACCAAATACTATTCAAGATTTCATTATGCAGGCAAAAGCTGCTCTTGTATCTGTTGGGATAGTTAGGGACACAGTTCTTGGTAATTCAATACTACCCTCAACTAAACATCAAATGGAGTGGTTTTGTTCATTTTGAAGTATTGTTGTGATACCTAACCTTTTGACTATACACGTGATTCCAATTTATAGGAAATGGTAAAGATCCTGGAAGGTTATCTGGTCGAATTATTGATTCAGATATGCACGAAGTTGGACGATTCCTCAACCGGCTTTTGGGGCTACCTCCTGATATTCAGAATGGGTGTGTCCTATGTATATTGAATGTCTTGATGCTTCTAATTTTTAGTACTAAATTCAATATGCTAAGTACTACTGTATCAACAGGCTATTTGAGTTATTTGTGAGTATTTTGGATCTTCTCGTTCGGAATGCTCGCATTGAAGGTAACCTCGACACAGGAATAGTTGACTTGAAAGCTAATGTCATAGAACTACAGGGGACTCCCAAGGTTTGTTTGCTAAACTTGTGTCTGCTCATTTATTTGTGTTATCAACTTTTTTCCTTATTCCTTCCTTAGTGTTAATTATAATTGCATTGTATCGAATCTGCTCCAAATATCATTTTGATATTTGAGCTGATCTTAGGATCTTTTCTTTTCATGTGTGCAGAATGGTTTCCTTGTGTTGTAAATAATGTATATTTGTAATTATTATTTATAATAATTGTACACTCAGCCCATATATCAGGCCCATTTGGTTTCGACTAGTCTATTTAAATGAATTAGTGCATACACTCTTTTCACAACTTTGAAATGCATCAGAATTATATATTTATTTTCTACATCTTGTTTTGAACCAATTCTTCTCCTATATTTTGAGCTGTATTACTTCATTTTTAATCAATAGAGAAAAAAATCTAGTCTTTGTTCTTTTAGTTAACTTTGTTATATTGCTAATATGAACTAGAGAAATTTTCGTTACATGCAGACAGTTCATATTGATCAATCGACTGCGGCTTCAACCGTTCTTTTTACATTCATCTTGGATCGAGGGATCACGTGGGAGGTGCTTGTTCTTTTTTGTTTGACCCAACTAATGGTGTGCATTACTCAAACATAAAATACTGACTTTCTTATTGTTTACATGTCAGTCAGCAAGTAACATGCTGAATGAAAAACAGAAGGATGGTCTTGGCTCAGCCATTGATGGCTTCTATGAGTCCAAGAGGGAGTGGTTGGGAAAACGTCATTTCATTTTAGCGTTTGAAAGGTGTCATTATTTGTTTTCATTATGTGTTCCTGTTTCCTTAGTGCATATTCAATTTCATTGAATATTAAATGTATTAACTAATTATCAAGCATTTCTCTTTGCTGAGTTAGGTTGCCAAATTAAAAACCTGAGCTTATACTTATTATTTATGTTCGCATGTGCTTGGATACTCGAAAAAGTAGAGATAGCTGGCCTCATAATTTTCTTTTGCCTGCTTTATTCTTTCTTAGTTTTCCTTTTTCTGGTTACTAAACTAGGAGTTTCATTTGGCAAACTTGATTTCTTCACTAGTTTTACTAATGTCTGATGCCCAGTCAGGATGTTCATTTTTCTCAATATACTTTTCTATATCATCATGTCATGGTGGTGTAACCTCATGCGGCATACATGATCTTCTTGATTTGCTTATGTCCTTACTTTTGTTCTTCACAGAATCTTATTGATTTGCATTTCCTTATTTTTGTCCTTCGTTCTGTTCCAGTTCTGCTTCGGGTATGTATAAGATTGTCCGTCCTCCTGTTGGGGAATCAAACCGGTATGTATTCTAGCAATTAGGCTTTGTTGGGCATTTCATTTTTTATTTTTATTTTTATTTTGATCATGGTTTCCTTTCAATTCCTTAGGGAGATGCCTCTATCTGAATTGAAAAGTAAATACAGAAAAGTTTCATCCTTAGAAAAGGCTCAAACTGGTTGGGAAGAGGAATATGAAGTTTCATCTAAACAGGTATTTTCTTTAGAAGGTATTTCCTGTTTGTTAATTTGCAATGAAACCAAATGACATTGAAATGAAATATTGAATTCTCGAGGCTTTACGGTAAAAGTCAAGTGTTGCTTGTTGCAGTTTAGTTAGGGTATCAGTTTTTCTAGAACAGCATAAGGAATAGTTTATTTGTTATAAGGTTTATAGCCAGTGGTTACATAAAACTTAAAGAATAATATCATTATTCCTCTCTTACTGTTAACTTCTTTATTCCTCTATTCATAAGTACGTAGTCAATGACGGATAGCATAGTGTGGTGGATGACCACCAAAGCACTTTAGTGGTTTGGCGGGTAGAGGTAAGGGCGCTACACCAAAGTTAGGGGAGAGAAAAACAAGAGAAGAGGTGAGGTCGCTTTCTTGCAGAGGGAGAGGATAGATCACGAAATAGAAGAGAGGTTGACAAAGAGAAGGGAGAGGTTGCAGAAGTAAAAAACGAGGGCATTTTTGGCTTTTCCACTCATTTTCTCTGTTCTGCTCATTTTCTTTGCAATTTTTTTGCCACACACAGTACTGCCACCACCTCTATTAAATATGGAGATTCATAAATAAATCGTTTGAGAAAGTAACAGCAAATATTGTAGTCATACATACTGTTTTTCTAAGATCAACTGATAAGTTATTGTACTTTCTATCTCTTGTGAATACCTGACACATTTGTCATACATACTGAACTGACGCTCTGATATGCTATTGTTCTCTGTATTTGTTGTGAATTTCTTGGACAATTGTCATTTATACTTAACTTAGTCTAGTCATACACTTAGACATATATTGTATTTTCTCCGGTGATGTATTGTCCGTACTGTCTAACATCATCGATGAGTATATAGCCATGTATGATGCCTAAAGGGTATTACAGTACCTGAAAGATGCATTAGAACTGAGATGATAAAAATGTAATCCACACTTACTCTACACTGTTTAACACCTACTTCTCTTTACCCTTTTTGGCAGTGCATGCACGGTCCCAATTGTAAGATTGGCGGCTTCTGTACAGTGGGAAGAAGACTACAGGAAGTAAATGTCTTGGGTGGCCTCATTCTTCCTGTTTGGGGAACAATAGAAAAGGCCCTTTCTAAGCAGGTATTTCTTCAGCATTTATGAAAACAAAAACCAAAACATTTTATTGAGAAAATGTCAACTCATGCATTGGTTTGTCACTTTGTCCTATTATTTAATTTGCTGGTTTGAGTTTTTAAACCTGAGGTTTTCATTGTCAAAATTGTAGTGGATGGCTTCGATTCTGATAGTTGTAGTAATTTATTTTAGCAAGTGTTCACACAATCGAGTTTGCATTGTAGAAGAACTTTCAACTTAATGAATTATTTATATCTGCTTGAAAAGGTTTTCTTTGTAAGGTGACTCTTTAGTTTAGACCATTATACTTTATGACTTCACCGGTGACTGATTATTTGATATCATTTTGTTGGCAGTGGCCTCAGAAATTACTTAAAGATATACTCTTTCCATTCTTTTTTATAAGCAAATTTTACTTAGGTTCATTGAATAAATGATGTATTTGAACTATATATAGACTACATATCAATTATTTAATGAATCAAAAAAGCAAAAGTTGTTTATAAAAGAGAATTGAGGGAGTATCTCCTTGAAAAAAAACTAAACTGATAATCAAAATATGTACAGGCCCGCCTAAGCCATAGGAGGCTACGAGTTGTTCGCATAGAAACTACTGTGGATAACAAACGGATTGTTGGGCTTCTGGTTCCTAATGCAGCTGTTGAAGCTGTTCTTCAAGGTTCTCTCATACACATTTACATTTGTATATAATATATTCATTGATATTCTGCTTTCATGATAGATAGAAAATTGATATAAGTTTTCATCCCATTCATTTTGGTCAAATTCAATCAAGAAACTAACCTACTGATATCATTTGCAGGTTTAGCATGGGTTCAAGAAATTGATGATTGACGTGTGATAATAGACTTTGCTCACATTTTTGTTTTAACAAAGTTTGAAGCCTCACATTTTCTTTTTAACAAAGTTTGAAGCCTTTTGATAGTTGCTTGACGTCTCCATTATTCAGTGTCCTCTGTAAGTCAACAAGCAATTGATGTTTAGGAAAGGGCTCAACCTTGATGCTGAATTTTTTTGGAGGAAAGACTCGTCCTCTGTGCCATTCAACACAATTGTGCAGTCTCATTTAGTTATCAATTTTTTATCTCCCATTTTAGCATATAATTCGATTTTGTATAGTTGTAAAGATAATTCACCAAGACAGTAGATGACTAGGCTTTATCAACTAGTCCAGTCTGAATAGGCTGCTATATTATATAGTCCGGTCTGACTTTGAACCAATTTGTATCAAATTCATCAATGATTATTAATGTAATAGTTGAAGTACATTTATTGTTTTTTTTTTTTAAATAATTTTTTGAATAATAATATAAGTAAATATTCCTTTAGAGCAACATTGATTATCCAAACACAGTAATACAACTGTATCATACAGAAACACACGAATTGCAATTGTTCAATTGCACATCTCAATCGCCAAGTTTGTTAAAATAAATACAATGCAAATTTTGCACCCACAGGATGGGAACACTCATTATTCTCTGTCTTCATCAGATGAGAACTTATCAGCACACGAATGGTTCATCAACATGGTGATCACTGCAGTAGAGTCCAGGCTTTTGAGTGAAACCGGCCTTCTGTAGCTTCTGTCTAGCTTTATGAACAAGCTCTGAATATGTAACTGAACCATCAGTCTCCTCAATTATAGCTTGTATTGCATTACTAAAAGCTCCATAAGCATTAGCTGCATTTCCGGCAGGGCAAGCATCTGCCGAAGTCTGGTCTGTCTGACAGCCGCTCATCAGAATCCCACCGCTTGGCATACCGCGCTTTGATGACCCAGCATATACTTCATGCTTACTTCCCACTTCTGTCTCCATGGCAGGTTTTGCATATCCCTCATCATTCTCATCCAGCTTTTGCTTGAGAAACTGTTGGGCAAGACTCCCCACCATTCCCAGTATCCCACCATGTTCACCTTCACCTTCACCACCTCCTTGTTGGAGTTTGTTCAGGATAACCTTCATAAACTTCTTCACCTTAGGGCTAGCATCTTCCCCAAAAACATCAAAGAGGGTAGGTCTCAGTTTACCAACATCTATATCATCTTTTCCAGTTTTCTGCTTGAGTATCTCAATGAGGGTTGAGAGTGGCAGAGACTTATTCTTTACATAACCATAGGTCCCATGTGGGAGTTCGCTGTCCCCATCTTCAGCTTTTTCATCATCTTCATCCCTGTGTGTATGACGGCGCAATCCCGAAGGAACGTGAAATCCCCTGGACTCAATGGCATCCTCAACTTTCCTATGCAGAAAGCTTGAGAATCCAAAGCCAGATTCAGATTGTTCCTCTCCTCCTTTTGTGCTCTCTCCTATCTGCTCCTTAGCTTCTTCAATCAAGCCACCACTATGGCATGAATCAGATACAATTGTCAGCCTACATCCTCTAGGAATCCCATTCACAAATTCCTTGAAATCATCATCTGCAGACACAAATTATCAAGTCAATTCACCATTGTTCTACCTCAAGAAAAGACACAATACTACTCACCAATAAAATTAGAAAAACATTAACACAAAAACCGAAATAAATAACTCTGCTGTGTGGAGGCCTTTACTTGAAGAAAAATATGGGTGTATTAAGAGCAGGGTGTTGGTGTTGCTGCCTAAGGGTCAATGCAAAGCTTCATTACTTTAGAATCATTGTAGTGGCGGGACATTATCAAGGTTAAAAATTTTAAAGAGGAAGCTGGTTTTCTTAAACAGTTAGGGTGCAAGGTTGGGGAAGGCAACACGGTTTTGTTCTGGCTGTCGCATTGGGTTGGTCTTCAACCTTTGTGTTGATCGTTTCCTGATCTGTTTGAAGCTTCTCTCACTAAGAATGCTGCGGTCTGTGATATGGGTGAGTGAGTAGGTGATGTTTGGTCTTGGTTTGCCCCTTTGCCCCTAACACAATCGTTGCTGTTGGAATCGTGGGAATTCATACTGCTCCAGGTTGGGCAGACTTGGAAGACAGTACTGCTGGTTTTTCTCTTTGTTTAGGCATTGCAGATGGTTACTTTTGAAGTCATGGTCCTACTCAATCCTTTTCTGTAAGTTCCTCTTATTCATGCCTTATTGGTGCAGACGTTAGTGGTGAATGTCAGATTTCTTCCAAGACTGCTTTGGATATCATGCGGGCCTCTAAAATTCCGCTGAAGGCTAAATTATATAGTTGGAAGCTGATTCTCTATAGGCTTCCTACGAGGCAAAATCTGACAGTCAGGAGAGTAATCTCAAATATTAATGAGGTTGTGTGAATATTCTATTTTAGGATAGTTGAAGATATAAATCATTTATTTTGCACCTGTCCTCGGATACGAAACTTGTGGGGGAGGGTGGCAGATTGGATGGGAATTGAGTGGGATGTTAAGGCTAATATTTGTGATTCCCTGTTATCTTGGTTTTTGGCGCTGTTTAGGAGTTACAACAAAGCCTCTGCTTGTTTTATCTGGATATTGACTTGTTGGGTAGGTGACTAGAAATCAATTTTTGTATAATGATGCTATAGCAAATGAGGGGGAAATGTTTCATAGGATTACTCATTTAACATGGTGTTGGTTAGACATTTCTTCTCCTAGTAAGGTGAAATGCACCTTTTATGATTGGTTTAAAAATCCAATTGACTTTTTATAAGTAGACTAGTTTGGTGGATTTTTCTCATTTTTTCGAGAATTATAGATTGTTGGTATTTTGTATATGGGTTGAAGTATCCCTAATATTTTTTGAATACATTATTGCTTATAAAAAAAAAGATTAGACAAGAAAAAAATTATGAAACACAAGCTATCAAAATATAACTAGTAATCAAATTGATACTAGAATTATCTTTCATTTCCAACATTACACTAAACAGACCAAGAATGAGAAGGACCAAATTAAATAGTGTTGATTTAATGGTAAAAATAATTGATTTTAAATGAACTTCATCAGTAAAATTGATTCGAACTAAAAGTGAATTGAACATAAAATAATTTATATTTGAATAAATTTATGTAAACACAAAGACAACTGTATATTTCAATCTAAATTTCACATTTAAACTCAAAAAATATATTTTAATTTTGAGTAAAATCAATTCTAAATGCAGAATTAATTATATTTAAAAAAAAACATTCTAAAATCAATTCTGAATGCAGAATCAATTATATTTTAGAAAGAAAAAACATTCTATAATCAATTCTACATCTTTAAAGATATTGCTAGACTATTTCAAAAGTTAAACCAAAGCATACACATAGACAATAAACAGTTTAGAGTTGAGATTAGGTGATTCCTTATCATCAAATCAAACCAAACCAAAACACACACCAAAAGAAGACTCAATTCTCAAAACACGTTTCGTAATCTTTAACTAAAAGATCCAAAGTCACATAAGAAAATTTAATAAAAACAAAAGTATAGAGAAAAAGGTAAAACAAATAGCAATATCCAATAACTGAAAAGTTTGGGCACAAACCAGTGATGAGATTCATATCAGAAGGAACGATACATTCATCAAAACCAGTATCATCATCCTCTCCCGTTTCAGCCGGAAGACGCGTCCCATGTCCACTATAATGAACGAACAACACATCTCCATCCTCCGCCGATCGGATCAACTCCGACAGCACACGGCGTATGTTCTTTCCCGTCGGCTCCGCATACGACGAATCGGTGTCGATCAAAACGGTGATGTCGTCTTCGGAAAATCCGTATCGCTCGATCAAGCATTTGTGCATCCTCCATACGTCGTTTACGCATCCTCTTAACTCTGCTTTTGTTCCGGGATAGTTGATCCCAATCAATACAGCTTTCTTCGCCATTTGATTACAGAGTCTCTCGTTGGATCTAAGAAGAAGATGAAGAAAAAAAAAATAACTATTTGACTAATTTCTTGCTTTTCGTTTTAGCTATGATTGATTGATCCACCAAAACTGTAGTTGTCATTCTATCATGTTGTGAATTTATTATTATTTTTTTTTTTTCGTTTTCTAATTGAAGAAAATGCAATAATATTTTCTTTTTTTTTTGGTTTTCTTTTCTTGTATGCATTCATTTTTCGGATTTGATTGGTGATTGTTGGATGACTTGTTTGATTGGAAGATGGGTGGTGCGCACGTTATCATATATTGATAATTGAATAAATCTTTAATTTCTTTAAACTCTCACTTTATATAAAAAGAATTCGTAAACATGCCAATTACAACCGTGGTATATACAAAAATTAGAAAGAAATTTTTTTTAAATTTAATGTAAAATGTAAATTGAGAATACATGCATAATTATACATCTATAATTGAAATTTACTTATACTTGAGACTCGTTGTTTGAAGTTTTTATTGTTTATACCTAAGATTAGAAGAGTAAGAAGGATATAAGTTTGATTAACATACTAAGGTATTTATTTACAGTCGAGACCACCGTCCTCATTTAGTCAACAAATCTTGATCTAGAAAATTGAAGTGACACTTTCGTTGATGAGCAGTTGATAGATGAACGTTAAATCTTTTGTTTCTAATTATTCCAAGGGAAAACATGGTTCTCTTATCAAAGTTTGTTTCTTCAATGACATACAATCCAAATAATATTATCAATACTTTGTACTTGAAAGTTCAAATAAGTTTTACATAGTTTAATGAAACTGATGGATGAAGTGATCCACGTGATGGTTTAAAGGTTGTTAGGTAGTTAGATATAGTTAATTTACTAATTTTGGAAATATTGTATAAAATAGTTATTTGGCGTGTGTTTCTCTTAAAAAATGAAAAATAACTGCTGATCTTCTAAATCTAACTTTGGTGACTCACATGATCGATCAGATTAATCCTAGGACATGTGCTAAAGGTTATGTTTTGGACTAGTTTATCTAACCTATACACTTCGATAGTGTTTCAGTAAAAGTATTTAACATAAAAGTGTTGGTCCGACTAAAGAGAGGAAAGATAGAGAATTGCAAGAAATGAGGTAAAAAACTTTGAGAAGGGTTTGACAAAATAAAATAAAACACTTTAAAGGGGTAGATTGCAGGAAAAGTAAAGGAAAACTTTTTAAGGTTAAACAAATAAATTAAACTTCATTGAAAGTAAGGATGGTGTGTTTACATAACGTACATTCTTCTTGAATTCGTTTCTCTACACTCGGGTACTTCGAGTAATTTTAGGAATAACTTGTACAAATAGTAAATTACAACACACTGAATTCTATGTCTAAAACTCCTCCTAAAACCATCAGCTTCCGACAAGTGTCATAGTGCATGCAGTCACTTGCTAATCGAACGCCACTTGTCCTGCTTAGTCATGGGAAAACATAACCACTCTCTCCATTATTCGAATTTCAAAAACCTTCACTAATCTTCAGCCAATGTCTCGGTCGAAGGTCATTTTCCTTAATGTTTTGGAAATTTCTCTAAGTCCTAAAACACTTGAATTCCCATTCGAAGGTCCCCTTGCTCGAAACCTTATTCATTCTAAAAGGCTTTAATATTTTATTTAAATATTTTAACCTATACCTGAGACGTCGAATTTGTGAGCTAACAAATTGCCCCCTAAAAATGTATTTTTCGACTTTTTATAGAAAAAGAACCATTTTTTGATAGTGTCTAATTCGACGCCGTCTTTCGACTCCCACGCAGGCATCAATGTGATTAACCACCCATGTTTTGGGAAGAAAAAGAGAAGAAAAGAAAAAAACTGTTCCGCTAACTCCGCGCACGTCCCTGACGTCATGGGTCATTATGACAAATTTCTTGGAACTCTCACAAAATCTTCAGACCATCATCACTCTTTTAGAACCTAAGACAATCATGGGTCTAGGTAGTAACTACCACCGCCCCTATCTCCCATCGTGAAACGCCACGTGACCCACTATCCCTAGCCATTAATGATGATTAGAGGCCTTTGATTTACTTCAAAACACCCTATAAATAATTCCCCAGAAGTCACTTCAAACATTTCCCTTCTTCAGCAAACACTTACGTATCTGTTCAAACAACTTCTAACTTTTTCTCAAAACCCATTTCTTCCCCAAACTTCATCAATGGCGTCCTCCATGACTACCACCCAAGCTTAAAAGAAGAAATCTCAAGTCAAAGGGAAATCAGTCGCGTCACTCCTCCCTCCTTTCACCACCCTCAGTGGACCCAAGATGGTGAAGAACGAACAATTCATCCACGAACCCTTGCTAGAAGAGAAGAGACATATATATGAATCTCAGGTAATGATTCCTATTACTGTTGCAGGTAAATCCTTGGCTCTGTCTGGTCCACTGTCCCCATTGGGCCTTAACTATTCCACCCTTAGCGATTTTTTCTCTTCTTACCGCAAGACCAAACCTCTAGGGCAAAAAGACTCTAGCAAAGTCCTTACTGAAGGCCCAGATAGTCTAGCACTACATAAGGTAGACCTTAAATATCTCGATAACAGAGCCAAGTTATTCAGAGCCACTCCCTATTTCAAAGATTCTGATCTTTACCTGAATTGGCTGTCGAAAATAGAGAAGGTGAAGGCAGACGACTGAAAGGAGATTGATATCTATGATTTAATCATGATGTCGAAGGTCGGTCCGACTTATTGTCCTCTCATGCTGGCCTCCTCACTATACTTCTGGGATAGTACCCACTATACCTTCCACCTCCCGTGTGGGATGATGACATCTACCCTCTTCGACCTAGCCGCCATCACAGGGCTAAAACCTTATGGGTTGGTGTATGACCCTGAAGTAGATTTCCAGGATATTATAGGATTCTCCAACACCAAACGTACCTATACTCACTTTATTAACGACTACCATAACAAAGAAACAACCACAGTCGATGACGAAGAACATATAGCTTTTTTGGCCATGTGGCTATCTCGCTGTGTTTTTTGTACAAAATCTTTGCAGGTGGCAAGGAAGTATCTCACACTGGCCAATCAAATGCATCTAAATCGAGGCATCTTCTTGAGTGAGATGATCTTGGCCAGTCTATACGAATCCTTAAGTGAAGGTGCTGACAGGTTAAAGGACAAAGAAAGTTGTGGGAACTTATTATTATCAGGTCCTTTTTGGTTACTTCAATTGTGGCTCAACGCTACTTTCGAAACCAGCCTCCCTTATAAAGGAGAAGTTGACGAAGAAGCCTCTTCCATTACAGAAATACGAGTCGAATGGACTCGACTGGTCCAACTTACTCCCAGCGAAGAAGGCCATACGCTTAGAGCCAATCTTTCTGGCTTCATCTAGATGTTCGCCAAACGTCATGAGTTCACTTCGAGGATGGATCCATTTGCAGAGAGGAAGTATGGTCCTGAGTGGTTTACCAGACCTTTTCCTCCTCTGTTTAAAAAGCACGAAGAGGAATAAAAGCTTGTCTGGGAAAGATTTTTGACACCTCGATTAATAGTTCATGTAACGCCCCGATTCTGATTTCCCATTTTGTTGAGTCTTTTATTTTATTTGAGTGATTATTATTTTATTTGTGGAATTGGTGTGTTAATATGTTATGTTTGCATATTGTGTTATTTTATCGTTTTTGAGAGTTTTCGGGGAAATTAGGTTGGAGGGTATTTTAGATATTTCTTAATTAATGTTAAGTTAGAAATTTTATGTGAGAAAATGAATTATTAGATATTTTATGAGAAAATGAATTATTAGATATTTTGAGAGGAAAAGTAATAGAAAAGAAATAGAATAGAAAGATATAAGAGAGAAAAAGGAGAGAAAAGAGAAATACAAGAAAGAGAAGAGAAAGAAAGAAGAAAAGAGAAGAAAAGAGAGAAAGTTTGAAAAATCATCAAGAACACTTCTAGGAATCGATTTGATTAGGTAAGGGTGTGAAATATTGTTATCTTATCATTGTGTATGATTATGTATGGTTTTGTTTGGATTGTTTTGGTTGTTTTTCCACATATTTCCATTTTAGGTCGAATTGGTAAAATCGATAGAAACCGATGTTTTCACGGTTATAATTCGAAATAAATTGCGTAGTTTAGTCAAGGAATGTTAGGCCATGACTATTGAAACTTGTTTAATTGAATTCGGGTGATTTCGTAACTTTTGACATTTGTGGATAATTGAGGGTTTGAGATTTGAGTGGAAATCGGACGTCGTAGAAATCGTGTTTAATAGTTCTAATTCACTGCTATATGTTAGGTGAGTATGAGTATGTGTTTGTTTCGAAGGAAAGAATTGAATCGGTCGGATTTTCGGGAAAAAATGCAAAATCCCGTAGCAGTTTTTAGGCAAAATTCTGGTTTTTCAGAAAACTTCGAAAATTCATATCTTTTGATCCGTAAGTCGGTTTCAGTCCCCGTTCGAAGCGTTGGAAAGCTAAAGAGATGTTATTTCTAGGAAAATTGATTTTGATGTCAGTCTATGATCCAATTATAGCATAAAATTCAAAACATGTCATTTTGTCAACTTTTACCGTCGTAAACGGGAGCGTTTGATGTGTTATTGTAACAACCCAAATTTCATTAAATAATTAATTATAGTAATTAATTAATTTAGTGGGATTTTATGTTAATATTGAAATTAATTTTTATTAATTGGAATTAATAGAGAATTGAAAGGAAATTGGAAGGAAAGAAAATAAAAGGGATATATAAGTGAGAAAGAAGAGAAAGGAAATTAGAGAAAACATTTGGAGAGAAAGAGGAAAGAAATAAGAAAGAAGAGAAAGAGAGGAGAAGAAGAGGAAAAGTGGAAAAATCATCAAGAACCAACATCAAAGCTCCGATTAATCGAGGTAAGGGTGAGAAATGTTTCTATTTGATCATTGCATGATGTTATGTATGTTGGGTTGGGGTTTTGGTAGAGTTTTCATCACTTTCCATTTAGGGAAAAT